ACATCTCAATTATGGTATATCAAGCTGAACAAAATTAGTAATAATATAAAAATATTTGACCTTATGGGACATACATGGAATACTGCCCCCAACAATTAGAGATTATACAGTATTTTCAGGTACACTTAGAAGACTTATGAAAATTGATTATGTGTTAGGCCATAAAGCCAGTCTGAAGAAATTTTAAGGATTGGAATAATACAGAGGGCATTCTCAGACGACAATCAATTAAGTTAAATTGATAACATAAAAACTCCATTTTACATTTGGGAATTAAAAAAAGAAACACTTCTGCCCAGCCTGTGTGTCTCAGTGGTTGAATGTGATCCATGCGCCAGGAGGTCACCGGTTAGGGCACATGCCTGGGTTGAGGCTTGATCCCTAGTGGGGGCATGCAGGAGGCAGCCCACCAATGTTTCTCTCTCATTGATGTTTCTCTCTTTCCCTATCCCTTCCTCTCTCAGAAATCAATAAAAACATATTTTAAAAATTTAAAAAATAAACACTTCTAAGCAATCCTAAGTCACGTAAGAAATCAAAATGGAAATTAATTAGAATAGTAATGTGGGGTGTAGTTAAAACAATACTTAGAGGGCCCAGCCAGGCGTGGCTCAGCAGTTGAGCATCGACCTAGGATCCAGGCGATCAGGGTTCGATTCCCGGTCAGGGCACATGCCCGGGTTGTGGGCTCGATCAATGACTCTCTCATCATTGATGTTTCTATCTCTCTCTCCCTCTCCTTTCCTCTCTCTGAAATCAATAAAGATATATTTTAAAAAAATACTTAAAGGGAAATAGATATACTTAATTGCTTACATTAGAAGGCAGTGATTACCCAGCCAGCATGGCTCAGTGGTTGAGCATCGGCCATGAACCAGGTGATCATGGTTCAATTCCCAGTCAGCACATGCCCGCTTTGCAGGATCGATCCCCAGTAGGGGACGTGCAGGATGCAGCTGATCAATGATTCTCTCTCATCATTGATGTTTCTCTCTCCCTCTCTCTTTCTCTCTCTGAAATCAATAAAAACATATATATTTTTTAAAAAGGCAGTGATTAACTTAAGAAGTTAGAGGAGGAACAGCAACAAAATAAACCCAAAGCAGAAAGAAAAGAAAATAACAACAGACACTGGAGATATAAAATACATAATAGAAGCTCCACTAAGCCCAAACTTGCCTCTTTTCAAATATTAAAAAATATAAACTGACAAGATTAACCAAGAAGAGAGAAAAACAAAAATCACATAATCATGTCAGTAGATACAGAAAAAGCATTTAACAGATCAAGTATCCTTTCATGATAAGAAAACACTCAAGAAAATAGGAATAGAACTTGTTCAGCCCAATAAAGCCCATCTATGAAAACCCACGGCTAATATACTTCATTTTGTGTGTGTCTGAGTTTTGGTTTTTTCCCCTCTTAACCCTCGTTACCTTTTTCACCCAGCCACCCAACCACCTGCTAACATACTTATTGATGGAAAATGAAAAGCTTTCCCCTTAAGATTAGGAACAAGAAAAGGATGTCTGCTCTCACGTCTACTCAATATCATAGTGGAGGCTCTAGCTAAGTCAACTTGACAAGGAAAAGAAATAAAAGGCATCTAGAATGGGAAGGAAGAAGCAAAACTATTTGTAGATGACATGATCTTACATATAGGAAATCTTAAAGGATTCACTAAAAACTATTGGAACTAATAAATGAGTTTAGCAAGGTCAGCAAGCTTGCAGGATACAAGATCAATATACAAAACTCAGTCTTGCTTCTGTATACAAGCAGTGAACAATCTAAAAATGAAGTTAAGGAAACAATTTTATTTACAACAGCATCAACAATTATAAAACACTTAGAAATAAATTTTAAAAATTATTTTAATGGTACAAGACTTGTACACTTAAAACTACAAACCATCACTGAAAGAAATTAAAGAAGACCTAAATAAATGCAAAGACAACCCATGTTCATGGATTTAAAGAGTTAATACTGTTAGGATGATAATGCTCCCCAAATTGATCAAGAGAGTCAATGCAATCCCTATCAAAATTCTAGCTGCCTTTTTCCTGTGTGTGTGCAGAAACTGACAAGCTGATCCTTAAATTCAAATGGAAATGCAAGGGAGCCTGAACAGCCAAAACAATCTTGAAAAAGAACAAAGTTGAAAGTCTCACATTTCCCAAAACTTATTACAAAGCTACATAATCAAGACAATGTGTTAACGGCATAAGAATGGACAAATAGATCAATGGAATAGAACTCAGAGTCCAGAAATAAGCCATTGCATTTACAGTCAATTGATTTTCAACAAAGGTACCAAGGCAATTTAATGAAGAACAGTCCTTCCAACATATGGTGCCAGAACTACTTGATACTCATACAAAAAAGAAAAGAATTAAAGTTGGACTCTTTTCTCACACCACATGCAATAATTAACTTAAAAATGGATCATTAAAGAGATAAAACTCTTAGAAGAAAATATAGGAGTAAATCTTCATGACGTTGGATTAGCCAAAGGTTTCTCAGATATAACACCAAAAGCACAAGGAACAACGACAACAAAATAGATAATATCTAAATTTAAAATTTTTGTGCTTCAAAGGCTACCATCAATAAAATGAAGAGAAACATACAATGGGAGAAAATATTTGCAAGTCATATATCTCATAAGGGACTTGTATCCAGAACATATAAAGAATTTTTACAACTCAACAGTGATGAGAGAGTCATTGATTGGCTGCCTCCTGCATGCCCGCTTCTGGGGATCGAGCCTGCAACCCAGGCATGTGCCCTGTCGGGAATCGAACCGTGACCTCCTGGTTCATAAGTCTCCTGCCCACACACTCTGCAGATCCAAGTGGCCTGGAGGGCTTAGAGTTGATAATAATGATGACAGAATATTAGTTCACCATATGCCAGGCACTTCACGTGAGTTATCTCATTTAACCCTTACCAGGATCCCCGGAAGCGCCTACTATTATCATCCCATTTTACAGATGGGGAAACTGAGGTAGGCAGATGAAGTATCTTGCTCAAGGTCACTGGGCAGACTGTCTTGGGACCCACAGAGTCCACCAAAAGTAAGCTTAACATTTGTATGAAGTCTTCTATTTTAAATATTTATGCAAATTATATATTTTTCTCCTTAATATACTTGCACCTGTTTTAATACAAAAAAATGCCCCCCCCACAAATTCTCCAGTAAAACTACCCTCCAGGTGGGGGAAGCCACTTGGTTTTCTCATCCGAGGCAGGAACCTTGGGCATGATGCTGGGAAGCCCAGTAGTGGATGTGGGAGCCCAAGGGAGGTTCTGATGTTGGTTCTCCGCCTCTGACTAGTGCAATTTTAATAAAAAGGACACCGTCATCTCCATCATTTACAAAAACTGAACAGAGAAGACACAGTCATCTTTTTAGCTTTCTGAGGTTTTCCGGTCCTCATCTTTGGAATCCAGCAGGTTACCCAAAGTATCCACTGAGACCACTCTCCACTTCTTTCCCATACTCACTCTGAACCCCACCTTGACCAAAACACCCAGGGAGATGTTCGACCAGGCACCCATGATCCCCATCCCAAGTCCCCACACCTTCCCTGAGGTTTCCCATCTCCAGGTCTTTGCTCACACCATTCTTCCCACCTGGAATGCTCTCTCCACCTCCAAAATCCATCTTAATGGCAGCCCCCTTCATTGGGCCGTCCCTCATCCCTTCCTCTAACCTGATGGAAGCCTCCTATGCCTCCTCTGAACCTATCTGTCCCTCTCTTGGGACACACTCTAGTCCACTTTCCAACAGAAGTGCTTACGCAACGGCAGGATTTATATGTGATTACTCTCTGAGCCCTGCACAGCCTAACGTCTTGCACATAGCAGGCAGTCAATAAAAATTTAACGAGTGAATAGAACAAAGAGTCACCTTGTATTCCCACTAATCACAGCCGCTAGGGCTCCGTGGGCAGAATCAACCACTGAAAGGCGGCTCCAGGAAGGTAAGTTTACAGCCCTGTGAGACTAGAGCCAGGAGCTCTGCTCAGCAGGGAGCCCAGCCTCATTTTGAATTTGTCTGCTACCCGCTGCATTCCTCATCTTTTCCCACCAAACAGCTCTGCACCGTCTTCGATTTCCCTCGAGGTCGTCTTGCTGGAATCACCTAGCCTCGCCAGCTTTTAGGGAGAGCACCTGGCAGTGTATCTCCTCTTAAGCTTCCATTCATGCTACTGTGCTGCGGAGTGTTCTAAGTGCTTGGTGGTCAACCGAGTGCAAAGAGGCGCTCCCCTCCCTCTGTTCCACCCTCCAGATGAAAAGCCCCACCCTGAACTAACACTCCTCCAGTCAAAAAGCAAGAAAATTGGATACCGAAACCAGGATATCATGAAATGATGCTCTCTTTGCAAGGGAAGGAGGGCTTGCACCAGTTGGCCAGAGCACAGCTCACAAGAAGACCGGCCTCACCTAAGGCTTACTTAAAATGCAGACTGCCATGAGTCCCAGGTGTTCTGGGGTGACTGCCCTTGAGTTCCCAGGCCCAGGAGACCAGGGGCAGGGCTAAGGCCCACTCAACAACTTCTCACCACTTCGACCCCTGCCTGGCCTGGGCCTCCTACAAGTGATGGGGTCGACAGCAAAGCACATCTTGGGACGTCTTCACCTTTGGCCTGAATTCACGCACCCATGGGAGTGTCCTAAAGAAAAACACCTCTACCCAGCTAGATGATGCTGGCTTCAACTCTTCAGCTGGAATCTTTAGTGTCAATGACTTTACTTCAGGATAAAATACAGATGTCACAGGGAAGGGCTATATCACAGTTTTGAGAGCATTTCCATGGCCAGGTTTGGTGTAAGTGAAGGAACAGGTACCTCTCATCCCCTGGGGAGTCTGGGAGGAGTCTTTGAAGACAGTGGGCCTGTACAGAGCAGACCGGTTGAAGACAGAGCCGTCACCTGTTGCAGAGGCCACATCCTGGTCACCACCTGGAACTCAACCATTGGAGGAGAGCACCTACCTGGGGCATCTGGTCTATGCTGAACAGCCTGGGGAGCTTCAAGCTCAGCATCTTGAAGCCGGGTTGGGAAGGCCAGTGAGTGGCAGCCGCTGTCACCAGGCCTCACTCAAAGATCGCACATGGCCTGGGAAGTCTCTGGCCAGCAGGTGTTGGGGCTGCTTCCCTGAAAAAGGAGCGTGAAGAAACCCAGTCAGTCTCATCAGAACTCCAGCTGCATCAAGACTTTCAGATTGTTTATGGGACATACTTTACTTGCAAAATAATCAGGCTTTCTCAGAACCAACAGCCAAACTCTCAGACTGCTGAGTCATTCCAAGAGCGCTGGAGAGAAGCGATTAAATCATACCATGGGCGATCATTAAATTGTAGAGCTGGAAAGGGCCGCAGAGGTCACCCAGTTCCCTCACGTTGCCCATGAGGGTCAAAGGGGTGGAGTAACTTCTGCAATGTTGCACAGCTAGGGGAGGGCCGGGACTGCTCGCTTTCCACTGTACCACGTGCCACCCTCAGGCAGATGGTGTGATTCCAAGTCTGCAGCCACCCTTGGGCAAAAGAGGACCAAGAGCCATGCTCCCAATCACCCAAAGAGAAGCAGCTCTTCCAGAAGGCTGACCAGGGTGCGTGTGCCCTGAGACACGAAAGAACCAGGCAAGGCAAATCCATCACACTTGTTGGAGACAGAACAACTCGGACTAACAAGGTTGTTTAAATGCAGGATTAAGACTGCTTAACAGCTGTGATTAATGTGAACTAAAGAAAACCAAGTCCTCAGGGTAGGCCTAAGAAACAGAAAAATACAAGCTGGGTTTAGTAAAGAAAGAGCAGAGCTCAGAATGTACCATACATAGTCAACGCCTCCTCTACCCGTTATTACTGGGCCAAAACCTGCCGCCTCCTTAGCGTCCCCCATAGGGGCTCTGTTGCTGTGTCTGAAGGCCCGAAGGCAGTGCCTGTGCCTCTCCTGTGGAACGAGCCACTTCTGTCTGCAGGGAAAGCTACCTGCCGAGGCCTAGTTCCCCACTGTTGGAGACGACCCTTAGGATGCTTGGAAACTCAGGTGTGCCTAGCTCATCCAGGGCCTTCATTAAATACTTATTTAATTCTGTTAAAGCAATGCTGTTCCTCCCCTGAACTTACAGTGTGTTTTGGCTTTTGTGGTTTGTTTATACTTTTGCTTCATATTACAGTTCTGTACGTTCTATGTGTCATCTGGAACTACATAGCAAAATTTATTGTATTTATGTTTCATTGTCATAAATTTGCTTCTTTTTTAAAAACACTGATATAAGCATTACTCACAATAGTCAAAAGGTGGAAACAACACACATGTCCATCAGCAAAAGGATAAACATTTTGTTTATTTGTTATTTTGTTTAATTTTATATTTTACAGGCAGGAAAACTGAGGTATCCAAAAGTTAGGAGGCTTGCCCCCATTATACATGACTTGCACCTGAACTCCAGCCTGGGTGCAGCCAGGGTCAAATGCCCACCTCAGCAAAATTACAAACAACTTTCAAATAGCTCACTGTGAATTAAAACCGTGATTATCATGTCCATTAATGCAGTGTTTTCCAAACTGCGGGTCACAACCTGTCCGTGGATCATAAAATCGATTTAGTGGGTCATGACTAGCATTTAAAAATAGAATAGTATGGGAGATAATAGAACACAATATCAGTGTGTTGCCTAGAATAAAGATAAGTATTGCTCTGCTATATTATATATGTTAAATTATATATGTTTGTTATGTTATGCATGCCAATATTTGTGTACTGGGTTATAACAAAAGGTATTTCTTACGGAAGGTCACAGTCAAAAAAGTTTGAAAAATGTGCTAATGTTACAGAACACTTGTACTGATTACAAGGAGCTATGGCTTTTAAAAATTTCATCTAGAGTCACACACACCATGATGTGTCTATGGAGTTTGGGAGACCAACGCTTCCAGATATCTAGACAGAAGAATGGCTGGCCAAGAAGCTCCTCCTAACAGCCCTTGGCATGTTGTAAAAAGCACCCTGACCACCTGAGCTTGGAAAATGTTCTAACAGTGGAAGCCCAGCTCCTCAGAAGCCTCCTGATGAGGTGTGACGGGGGGAGGCACATGGGACTTGGGGCCTAGGGTAGCCAAGGTCAGGTCTCCCCTGTACAGTCTCCTAGATATGACCTTGGCTGGGCTGAGTAATTCTCCCTGACTCACCATTGTCATCTGTAAAATAAGGATATTAATATCTACCTGGTGAGAGCTGTAAGGAGTTAAAAAAAAAAAAAAAGGATGAAAACATACTTATTACTACAAATTCTAAATAAATAGCAGTTGTGTTACTACTGCTTCTAATAGTAGTGCTGCTACTACTACTATAAATAGCAACACACTCAGGAGAGTGGCCCATCAGCTGCAACAACTCCCAGGATGGGGGTTTGTAACCTGAGGCCAATAAAATTATAGATAAAATTGTGCATGTGCACATGTGTGCTTGTGTGGACATGAACATGCATGTTTGTGTCACTGGGGTCAGGGTCATGGCCTTCAGTGTTGTCCCAATGAGCTAGAAAGGTTCAGGACCATTAGCCCCCTTTTAGTCCAGGAGTCACTGGGCCCGCTCTGAGTGGCGGGAAACAGGTGGACTCTCTGGGTCGTGTCTACCAGTCGGTAAATGAGAACAGTGTTCCTTTGCAGAAACCCGTTCCTGCACCCATTGCCCCACCCTGGAAACTGGCCCCGGGTCTGGGGAAGGCATGCCCTCAGCAGGTGTGCTCCAGAGAGAGTCGAATGTGCAGGCCACACTGGCCTGGCCCTCTAAGAGGAATGTCCACACCCAGAGTAACCAGCCCAGCCCCACCCATGGGGACAGTGAGAGTAGCTCTCACTGCAGACCCAGCTGTCCCCAGTGCTGGCCTGGGAAGGCAGGCCAGGGGGACCCGGCAGGCACTGTCAGCCAGCTACTGAGTGGGGACACTGCCAGCACCACTACCACTGTGGGCCACCCAGAGTGAGCCAGGCTGGAGGAACAGCTGCTCCCAACCCCATCTCTGAAACTCCTGGGAATCTCCCCACTCTGGCCAGGCCTCAGGACTGTCCTCCACTCTTGAATATCTTCTCACTGGCCACTCTCTGGCTGCCTTCCAGGCCGAGCCCTCCTAGAAGGAGCCTTCCCCGTTCCACCTTCCTCCTCTCTCCTTTCCCTGAGCACCTCCAGACACAGTGAGAAGGTGGCTATCCCCGACTCTGGGTTAGGCAGATCTGGGTTCCAGTCCAGGCTTCTCCACGCACCAGCTGGAAGCCTTGAGCACGCTGCTGAACTTTCTCAGCCTTGGTCTCATCCCTAACTCATAAGCTGCATGGGTGAATTAAAATGATGTACACCGGCTTGCCTCACCTCAGTAAACAGCAGTTGTTATTACTTTGGTTACATATGCTCTGATTCTTTTAGGTGTGGTTGTTTTGGTGACCACAATTTAGATTTTTTGAAGAAGGGCCTAGATCTGCTTTTATATAATAGAAGACACAATAAAAACTTGCTGACTGTTCTACTCAGAGGCAGCCCATTGGTTCATTTGTCCATCCATCCATCCATCCATCCATCCATCCATCCATCCATCCATCCATCCCTTCATCCATCCATCCATCCATCCATCCATCCATCCATCCATCCATCCATCCATCCA